GGGGGGCTGCAGTGATGGTTGACTTTCTACAACTTTCTCCCATCTCCCGACTGCATCTCTGGAGCTCAGCCACAGTCATCTTTGGGTTCTTCTGTACCTCTCTCACCAAGGCTCTTCTCCCCCGATAGCTCAGTTTGGCCGGACGGCCAGCTCTAGGAAGGGTTCTGGTCGTCCCAAACGTCTTCCATTTAAGGATTATGGAGGCCACTGTGCTCTTAGGAACCTTAAGTGCAGCAGAAATTTTTTTTGTAACCTTGGCCAGATCTGTGCCTTGCCACAGTTCTGTCTCTGAGCTCTTCAGGCAGTTCCTTTGACCTCATGATTCTCATTTGCTCTGACGTGCACTGTGAGCTGTAGGGTCTTATATAGACAGGTGGGTGGCTTTCCTAATCACGGTCAATCAGTATAATCAAACACAGCTGGACTCAAATGAAGGTGTAGAACCATCTCAGGGATGATCAGCAGAAATGGACAGCACCTAAGTTAAATATATGAGTGTCACAGCAAAGGGTCTGAATACTTATGACCATGTGATATTTCAGTTTTTCTTTTTTAATAAATCTGCAAAAATGTCAAAAATTCTGTGTTTTTCTGTCAATATGGGGTGCTGTGTGTACATTAATGAGGACAAAAAAAAAATCGTAATGCTTTTAGCATATGGCTGCAATATAACAAAGAGTGAAAAATTTAAGGGGGTCTGAATACTTTCCATACCCACTGTATATTCCTACACATCACACAAGCACAAGTCATTGATCTAACTTGCAAATACTGAATTTATAGCTGCATAAAATTGAAAAGCAGCAAATCCCCACACTGGAGAAACAAGAACCAGATCATGTATTTGCATTTGATGACTGAAATGATTCAACTGTTAACATTTATACTGTAATTTCATTTTCCTGTGGAGTGACTTTTCCTGTCAGGACTACTTTCAAGTATCTAATTTCAATAACGTATTCAGAGATGTCTCATGTCTTCTGACGCCTGAGATGAAATGCCACTTTTCTTGCATTGCACCAGCATTTGTTGCCTTATTTATCAGGATGAGTCATCATAAACGTGTTTTGTGATATTTCTCTATACTTTTACTTAAAATAGCCTGACATTCATGTCACTTTTTGTCACTAATGCACATATTGTTCAAACCTCAGCTTAACAAAAAACGTAATTTTTGGTTGCCTACTTTGACACAAAAATGTCTAAGAATCGTGTCTGAAGTGACTCGTGTGAATCAGAGAAACCATAAATAGTAGGCTAACCATAAATTACAACTGTAAATGGTACAGGAGACCAGTGCTGTGGTTTGCAGTCTATTAGTGTGATAATGTCCTAAGACATGGTGACAAAACACTAGAATAATAAGTTCAACATCTGCAAACAGTGCAGCCATGTTTCTGCCGGCAAACTGAGCATGTGATCGGTCAAAGTTGAACAAGCCAGTTAATATTAGCTAACGTTAGCTCCGAGAGTTGGTTAAAAACTGTGTCCGGTTAAGTTTGGAATGTTTTCCAGCTGATTCATTTTAAAATGAGAATCTTGTAAAATAGTCTTGAACATTCACTTAATGGCTACATAAAGCTTATAACGCTGAAGCTGCAGGTCCACATCCTGAGCCTGTGCAATCACCGTTTGGAGCTTTTGAAACTTTTTCAAAAGCCCATTAAAAGAAATAAACAAAAACAACAATAAAACTTTTGTTCATAGTGTGACAGTATGACTTTAATGCTGTCTCGCCACCAAAATGGCAACAACAACAAAAAAAAAACTAATCAAATGTGAAACAATAAATAATAAACAGTAAGTCACCTGAACTTCTGATGAGACAGCACAGAAACCACATTTTCTGGCTGATAAACATCTGCTGTTGCACAATTTACAGATCGTTGCAGCTGTGACTTTGGCTTTCATTTACACAAGAATGTGCTTGTCACTTTTTGCTTCTGCTTTTTTTTTCTCTGATAAAAAAGCTCCAACATCTGAGAAGAGGTCCATGGAAAATATCTGTTAAAATCATGTATTACAGACCAACCGCTTTATCAGTGTCCTCAGTGTTCTCTGTTTCCACACCTTTTAGGGTCAAATGCAGCTAAGAAACGTACTCTGTCGTCTTCTCCAGAGTCAGACGAGAAGCTTACAATTAGTTGCATCTCATCTTCTCTTTTGTGTATCTTCTTAGCTAACAAGCTGTCCACCAATTCCTTCCTTGGAGCTGTTGGAAGGTGTATTTTCTTAGCGCTGATGCAGCTGAGCTAATTCTCTGCTTCTAGTCTTTGTGCTAAGCTCGGTAAAGCTAGATGCACATGGCTCAAATTGTTATCATCTTGTCTATCTCTGAGGAGAAACGCAAACAAAATTATTTAACCAATATGTCACTCTTCATAAAAAATATACTCCAGCCCCAGTTTAATTATAATAAAAGCAATAAATGCAGAGACTCTTCAATCATTTTCCATTTCAAACACTTATGTAGCTGATGCTCTGGAGCGGCACATAGTGAGCAGATGGTGGTCGCACACCTTTGACACTACAGCAGTCTGTTGCAGGGTCAAACTGGTAGACGCCTGATACTAGGCGGTATGTTAAATCACCTCACCATGTGTTGGATGTCAGTGATGCAAAAGAAAATGGCTTCACAATAACAGGAGGTACCAAAATTCATTAACCCAGAGAAAACTGCAGAAAAATTAAAAGGTTCATTAAACTTTGTTAAAAATTCAATAGACTTAAATGAGAAAAACAAAAAATTCATAATGAAAAAAAAATTACTCAAAAATCTGAAGCCCCAGTTCACAGTTTATTCCACGTATCACTGCCTACACGAGGTCCGATTGCTAGGAAAATATCTCTCACTCTATAAACAGGCATAGTTCATCTTTCTGTAAGTATTCCTCCACACGCAAGGCGTGTATTGTCAGTGTATGTTGGCACTGAGGTGGGTGTATCAATGGGGCTTGCAGCCGTCATTCGTCAATGAACGTCAGCCGGCCTGGTCCCTCGTTTTTCATCCAGCGGCGGTACCTTTTCATTCTCGGGTCGGTCGCCATCTTTATCTTCATCTCTTCCTCCTGCTGCTTTCTGAACACCTGAGAGACACACACGACGAATGTTTACACTTGCAGCAGATTCTATGGTTTACAGCTGCAAACAAGGTCCTTCACTGCAAACAGCTAGCTCAAGGTTTCCTGCAGCATATTGTTGTGCAGGTGCTCTGCCTACCCCGACACCCCCTATAATAAAGGCTACGTGTAAAAAAATAAATAAATAAAAAAAACAAAAAAAAAAACACTTTGGGTGGCTAACCGCTATTGTAATGATCACGATGATGCCGCTAAAGAGAAACACTCTGGCATAGCACATAGTGCTGGTGTTCTGTGCCTGGGAACAGCATGGAGTGATCACACTAGTCAAATAAACTGGAGTCTGGTGTCAAACGTGCTCGGGCACAGTATGGACTGCCTAGTGCGAGTACACCCTAGAAGGAAGATACCGATAACACCTGAACTGAAGGCAGGTTGTAGGAAAGAAGAATGTAAATAGGGAAGGATGGAAAACCCATGTGGATGATGAAGAGGACAAAGGAGGGAGTGGAGTGGTGAAAAAGAAAAAAAGGAAGGAGGTCAAAAGACAGATGAAGTGTTTCCAGAGAGACAACTGAAAGTCACGAACCTCGTAGTTTTCTTTGATCCAGAGCTGTTTCTCTAGAAAGGTCTGTCTGGTGTTTTCATCCAGAGTATCAAACTGAGACTGAGACATCCTCATGTACCTCCTAAGTTAAAACACAGACAGTGTGCTGTGAGACAGCCTGACACTCAGAGAATGCTGAGGTAAAAATGTAACGGTATCTAGCTTAATCGCATTCACTCTCTCTCCGTAAGAACTGACCTGATGATATAGAGCTTCTCCTCGTCTCCATACTCCTCCCTGCAGATGGTGAAGCGGTAAACCCAGGAGATATACCAGGCTAAGTAGTTGGTCAGGTAGTACGGGAAGAGCACAATCTGACACAGCAGGATGTCTGACAGGTTGGGCTTCTGGTAGCCTCCTTTAATGTCAATCTTGTTTTTGATGATGTCGCGGATGACCTCCTCATCCTGCTCCCTGATCTCCTCTTTGGAGCGGCGGTTCTTTCCCTTCTCCTTGGTTCGGTTGAGGAGGCCCTGCTGCTTGGCTATCTCCATGGCCTGGATTCGATACTTGGGCACCGTCATCAGGTGGTTGATGGCTTCATTGTAGCTGCTGTGCCAGCTGTAGTACTGGAGGAGTTGCATTTGCACTGTTTTGGCATGTTTAAATGTATTTCACCAACATGTTTACACATTGGATCGCATTCAATATTGTTAAGGAAACGTTAAGTGTACCTGCTGAGTATTGTTGTGTATATATCGCCAGGCATACTACTGGCCACTGCTTATTAAAATGCCTTTTTGCATCACCATCCCACTTCTGATCTAACAGCATATATGGCATTTTGCATTGCCATGCCACTGCTTATCTAGTGGCACACCTACAAGAAACAGCACCTGCCATTGCATAAGTAGACTGGCCAGTGCCAGTAACATTTAATCATTTGAAATAAATACTGTATATAAATTAAATAGAAATGTACAGTAGTATTACATCAAATCTTGTGTGATCACAGTAAAGGTCACTGTGACCAAGAATCATTTGAGAGTTTGAACAAACCTCTGAAGAAAATATTTTGTGGGGGAAACCCTGGGTAAGGATATTTTTAGAACTTGTTAGAGACTGCAATTATACCTGGAAGATGGAGATGGCACAGATGGTAACTAGGATGACAATCCTGACATCAACTTTGGGTGTGAGCTGTCGGCGGTAGTAGGTGTAGTAGTGCTGGTAGTACTCCTCAGGGTGGTCAAGCATGTAGTCGTAGTCTCGCCGAGTGTCCTCATCCTGCGTGCGTACGCGCACACACACACACACACACATATTTGGTATACATATACTGTTTTTTCTGTTCTGCCTTTTCAGTTGGGAGGTTTCTGTTAATACATGCAGACTTCTCCCACAGACACACAGTTTGCTCTTGTCTCAATGCAAATACTTTTACGGAATGACTTCCCAGTGAGCCACTTGTTCAGTATGCACTTATGTCCCTAAATGAAAAAACATGAGGGGCACGGTTACTTTTTCTTTAGAGAAATAACATTAATGTATCTTTTTTTTTCTAAACATTTAAAACATAGTGTGCATAATGGCCATGGGCAAACCGACTTAAAACAAGGTTAGTAAAGAATTCTGAAACATAGCCTACAGTGCATTGTGCTGCATGAATGTGTCCTTTTTCAAACAGCATGGAGTTTACTAATTAGTTTTACAATTTAAAAATAGAGTTGGAGTTTGATAACATTTTATCCAATGTGAATCCAGCATCAAATGAGTGATGGAATCAGCTTTACCAGAATGAAAGGAAAAACCTTGATCAGCACTGGCTAAAACTGAAAAGCTTCTGCTTGAATGTTTTGTGCACTTGTTTATTAAACATTATTTTAAAATAACAAATTCTTATTATTTTAAATATTAACACTTATGACTCAAACTGGCACCAAAACCCATCAGGAGACTCAACACCAGGTACAGCCAGTGGCAAATGTTACAAGAATCATGTAGTAGACAAAGGTCAATCAACTATTACAACTTCTAGAAGAATACATGCCATCATATATAATCTGTTATTTACACAGTCCAATAACAGTTTCTATGATTATTTCACTCCTGTAGTAGAAAAACCTTATCAGAAGCACCTTTTCATACGATTGTCCAAAATTACAAATTAGTTCCAGTCTCACAAATGACCTTAAAACTGAGTGGACACACTAATAAATATCAACGAAACCTTTACATTTATTAGTAAGGTATTTTCACACTTTGCTCTCTCCAGGCTGCAGAGTGTGAGAATAGCATACAAACTGGACAGTACAGCAGTGAATACACCAGTTTCATTTTATACTTTTTAGTAAGTATGCAACTTATTAAATAAGGAGTTGTGCATGAATGTTAGACACATGGGCAGCCTGACCTCTCTGTGTACAATGTGACCCCTTTATGGCCCCCAATCGGGGGCCATAGTGGACAGCAGTCCTAAACTGGTCTCACAAGGCACACTTCTAAATATTGCACCAATATTAGAGGAAGTATAAGAACATTGCTGACATTACACATCAGGAACATACACATCCTATAACAGAGATAAAGACCGGCATGTTGCTACCGGAGTTAGGCATCTTAATGTAAACTTTACAAGTGTTTGACAGCGGCCGGAACCAACCTTTAATGTCTCGTAAGCAGTTGCGACGAGGAGGAACTTCGTCTGTGCGGTCTCCCGTGTCTCTCCCTCCAAACCGGGCTCTCCTGCTCTGAACCGGTCCGGGTGGTACCGGCGCGGTAAGCACGAGCGATCTCCGCCTTGGAGGCCTCCCGGGTGACGCCAAGCACATCGTAGCAGACGTCCCTGCCGCAGTACAGGCCCTCCACCAGCGCTGTGGCCATTGGCAGGTAGGACAAGGAGAATAGGAGCACTATGAGCCCCCACCAAGGCTTCCCTGTCCGCGGACACCCAGCAAACCCTTCGCCGCGGCTCCGCTCCATGGACGCCGCCATCACTGTCCGCCTTCCTACTGCTACCAACTCCGAAGCCCAGGTGGTCCCATGGATGGTGTCGCACGCTTCGCTGCATCATCAAGACGCGCCAGTGTTGTCCGGATTTCCCATATATGCCATCTCCCACAACACGTCAATGGGACGGAGAGATGACTCGGCATTGTATGTCGAAATCTGTTCCTCCGGCGAGTTGTACTTCCTCATTGTTAAAACGGTGTTGAAACGGTTGGTTGGTTATATTTAGGATAAGGTGAGGTTAGGGGAAACGCATGTCGACACAACACCGGTGTTCTGTCAAGCTGTGCTACCTGTAGAGACGTGTTACGGTTAGGGTCAGGATGGTGGTTAGGGTTATAGGTCTGTGTCGGGTTAGAAAATCCATAAATTACTAAGGTAGCACAACTTAACACAACATATGAACAAGCTTGATCTTTGGCTCGTTTTCTTCTTTCTTTCTTACTTTTCACTAAACAACTGCAAGAAAAACAGCAAAGATGCAAAATTACCACAAAACACAAAGGAGACAATATAATAATCCGTCCATGCATACACAACCTCCAGTTCTGTAATAAAAACATTCATTGTGGCCCAAAGAAACGTTAGTCTGTTAGTGCTTTCTTTAGTTGTATTTAAAGCAAGAGTTTGTCACTGTTTTTCATTTATTAATACTGACAAGCATCATATTTTGACTCTGGCAGAGGCGCACCGGGGGTGGCCAGGTATTTAAACTCTGTGGAGCCATTAGCACCTTGATGGACTTTAAAGTCACACCCTGTGGGTTTTCAGGGTCACATGAATCAAGGTGTGGATGGGTGTTAAATTCAGGTCATAGATTTTACTACACAACATAAATGATTAATTTGTTAGCATACAAACATTCAGCTAAAACTAAAAGTTTCTTGTAAAATCTCTTCCAATATTTTGACCTGTTTATGATACAAAAGTTATTACACATTCCAAAACCATGTAGCTTCTTAGTTTTGAATTATGTTCAATGTAATTACATCCAGCCTCTTATGACTTAACTCAGTGTACTAGGCAGAAAACAGAAAAAAATGTGTGCACATTCGATGCAAAAGTGCTATATAAGTGCAGTCCATACCCTTATGCTAATCCTTAATAAGCAGATTTACAACTTTTATTAACTACATTCAATAAAAACGTATATTTGGTTTGGTCTGTGTGAGGTGTGTTCTTTTTTATATTGAAAAGAAAAGACTAATAAGAGGATATATATTTCACAGTGTGAAATTTATTATGCATTAACGTATCAAAATTAGCATGTGCACATGGATCTTCACTGTTTAGGATAAACAGAAAAGACTGTCCTCAACTTAGTGGTATACAATATTTGTATGAAAAGGTGCTACTATCTAATTGGTCAAAAACTGTTGGGGAGAAGCTGTGGTTTAGACTTAACGCTCCCGTCATTGGTCCCTCAGTCCTTGTCCGGTCATCTCGGCAACCCTGAGACTGCACCTGGACTTGTTTTCCTGTTATCTAAGTCTCTGTGCTTTGACACGCACACAAGCATTTTAGAGAAGGAGGAATACCTGGCACTGCCTGTGTGTGCATGAAATCAGCTATTTTACTTGGCAGCTGTTTCTTCTAGACCAACATCTGACCATAACCTTGGTGTAAATCTTAGTATCTTATCAAACCCCAAAACCCCTGACTTCAAGGTTCAGAGGGAATAATGAGCTCTTTTAGAAAAGGCAACAAATCTAATGAAAGCCTGTGGGATGATTAGACCTTGGAAAGCCACTCAGTGCACCAGACTTTTTAATCACAAGAGCCTGCAATATCACACAAGTTTTCAGTGTCTCCTACAGAAAATTATTTTCTATTTATTTTAGTGAACATATAATTGGGTGAAAAGTAACTACATAAACATATCTATGACATATAAGTATGTATACTTATGTGTGCTATAAAATAAAACCATTCATAAGTGCATAAAATAAAAATCACCCTAACATCTGATGTAAATTTAAGACAGCATTTTAACAAAACAGAGAGCTGAACACACTGCACAAACATATAAACATCTAGCAGTCACAGTTTAAACTGAGTCAGTGTGTAATGTGAAACATTACTCCAGTGAAAGCTTAAGTTTCTGTGTATTAACCCAGCTGGTTCAGTGCTGACAGATGGAGGTTTCATTAAGGAGTGCTCTTCATTATTATGCTTCTTGGAGTCTAATTTGGAGTCATATCTGATTTCACTGAAAGTTAGAAACCCACATGTGACTTTGGATGAATGTGATGAAGATGAGAGAAACAGAGAGGAAAAGAGGGAAGACATGAGAGATAAAGAAGAGGAAGAAGGAACATAAAAACAGTTTCTATAAATGCTGATAAAAATGGGTTATACATTAAGAAAATGAAGGAATAAATGAGATAGAATGAACAGAGAAAATAATGCTACTTCATACATATCCCAGAATGCATTTTTCCTTGCAGCTGGCCAGGATCATCCACAGTTGGGACCTGAAGTCAGAGCTGCGGTTCCTCTGATGGCCATTAGATGGTACCCCAGCAAACTTTGATTGCACTGAAGTGAATGGGACCCCCTTCCCTTCCCCCAGCATCTCCTTACCTCACGCGGTGGTGTGAGTCTCAGCTGCATATTTCCATAGTCATGAGAGAGTAAACCATAAAGCAGCACAGGTTATGTGCTTTTGCTTGGCTGACAAGTTCTTCTGCCTATCAGTCTTCTGTGGCTGAGTACTGGTTCCACCTCACTTTCAACCCGATACTGCCTTCTTTATCTAGGTATTATTTCAGTTGTCTATGATTTCTCCAGTAACAGTCAGATTTATTTTCTCAAAGACAATGTTATAGAACTAAAATTCAGTTAAGATCAGTTCACTTTCTGACTGTGGGTCAATTTGGGAGAAAGTCTATCTATTGCAATGGGATTTGTCTCCTGCTAAAATAATGAAATGTTCTCTACATCCCTGATTCACACCTCTGGCCTCTCTGCCAGCAGTTAAGGCTCATGGGTATTATAATATTTAGGGCCATCTACCAAATGTATCATTTAAACTGATGGTCAGAACATAAACCAATAGTTTGATTCAATTCTTAATAATCATTATTATTGAGGAGGCCAGTAAAAGAAAATTTTGTCAGTTAGTTTCAGCAATCCACCCAAACAAATACACACTCTGGAAACATATGCAATATATTTATTATATCCCAACTAACATGTTTTCTAAAAATATAAACATGACCTCAGGATAGATTTCTCAGATTCCAAGTGCTTGGTGTAAAAATAGCGGTGAAGTCTGTTTGAGACCCACCTAGTGAGTCAACCTGCTGCAGTTTCATCCTTCGTCAACAACAGGGTGATCTGAGGATCCTGTTACAGGTGAAGGGGTCTGTTGTTGCTGGCTAACCTCTCACAAAAACAGCTCTCCTGCTTTATGTATCTAGAAAGTTCAGAAAGTCATATTTAACTGTCTACGCCTGTAGTTTGGTTCACATCTCCAGACCAAAGAAATAAATGATTTATTGGTATCTCAGTTCAGAGCTCACAAATGAGCAATGTCTGTCACATGGACCAACATGGAGCCCATTAATTGGCAATGTTGGGAAGGTTACTTTGAAACTTACTAGGTTACAGATTACTAGTTACCCTGTTAAAAATGTAACAAGTAATGTAACTATTTTAATAATTTCATCTGTTACACTCACAATTCTGTCCTCTGTCGCTCTCAAATCTATCTCTGCTCTTATAAATCTGTGCCTGTGCACTCTCAGATGATGAGTTGCAAACTGAGTGGAACTTAAAATGTGGTTTTTACACCTTTAAAGGTTTTGATGGGGATTAAATTCCATATTAGATATCATCAGTATGCTGACATGCTCACAGTGACAATGCTAACATATTGGTGTTTGGCAGGTACAGTGTTTTCATGTTCACTGTCTCATTTTAGTATGTTATTATGCTAACATTTGCTAATTAACACTACACATTCTGTCATATTTTGACTAACATCCCATTCACTGGGTTCAGCTTGAGAGGAGAAGTTAAGCTGTAAGATATTAATGCACTGGTGTTTCTGTAGAGAAAGTATAAAGCAATTTAGATAGCCAACTGTTGACATTAGTCTGAGAATGTAATATTTCTTTTGATAGCAGCACAAATATATCCAATTGCAATTAACCTAATGTCACGTTATAGCACTTTATGTTAAATTAGCTGACCATAAATATCATAACATAAATATCAATGTGTTACCTACATTTTTCTAGTTCGTTTCAGTTGCTTTTAGCATGTTCTTGTCTATGTTAATATATACATTAAGATTCATTTAGATATTATTGCTAATAATTATTGATATTATTGATAATTTTGAACTTGGGGGAGCTTACACATGTGTATTCAATCAAATTTGGTTTAGGAGGCCACCCATCATGAACGTTAGCTTGTGAGGTCTAGCCACTAGTAGAGTGATATCACATAAACACGTATGCTTGGATGCCAAAACATTTGGTTAGAATTTGATTGAGGTCTAATTTCTTCATTTCTCTGTCTCTGATTTCTCTCTGGTCTATCACTAAGTGCCCAAGTCACACCAGACTTCCAGTTCTGGAGTCTATGAATCTGTCACAAACCCCTGCCAGAACCATGGATGGTTTACATGACCAATTTGCCAAACATTACAAGGAAAAATAAAAACCTCACTGTCTATTTCTAGCTCCGTAACTCATTTATTTTAAAATTTGTCACTGTGTGGAAACTTGCTGTGGGAGGCTGTTGATGAAAGAGAGGCTGCTGAATCCTAGTAGCCATGCTTTGTGGTTCACTGATGGTGCACAAAACAATCTATGAAAGCAGCTCTCGATCATGTTAAAAGCGTTGTTAAGCGTTGATTTTTATACTGCTTGCTCTCCTAGTTTATGGTATTGCCTCACCCAGACACTAAATTTAGAGGTGCAGCTCTGGATCTGTCAAGATATAGTTTAAAAATAGCAAGGAGTGTAACCTGCTGACCATAGAGCAAATGTACAAGACAGGCTGGGTGTAAGCTGAACCAGACACAGAGAGGGAGTGATAGGCAGACAGGCTGAGAGATAGA